GCGAGAACAGAGCTCAGAATCAACGATAGGATGTTTCGAGCATCAGATTGGGGTAGTGATTTCAGAGTGCAAAGTTAAGAGCGAGAACCAAGTGTCCGTTAGCGCGATAACTCTTGCAAAAATGATTTGATTTCGATGAAATTTGGTTTAAACGTGTAAACCAACATTTCATCGAACGAGTTCGTGAACCAGCATGCACGGAGCATGGGAAAGGGGATTTATGGTGGTTTTTATGGGGAAAATGTTATTCTCCATAAGAATAACATAGGGCTCTTAAAAACTTTCAAATTTTGACATTAAAATTAAGTTTTTGGGGTCAAGGAGTAAAGTTACGAAAAAACATGTAGTGAGTAAAATTTAAAGTAAAGTAAGGAGAATACTAAACAATAATAATATTTGCAAAAAAAAAATGATTTAAGTATGAAAAAAAGCGAAAACCAGTAAAAAATTGAAAAAAGATTACCAAATTTTGAAAGTAAGGCGTTTTTTGAAGCCGAAGGAGTGCGATTTTTGGAAAACGTCTAAGAGGGTTTTGTAGAAAATTTAATTCCTGTTCCTGAATATACTTTCAAATCTTTTCTATCTCTTACCGTTTTCGAGCTAAATCCGGTTGAAAAAAACGTGTTTTTTCGTTTTCAGAGGTCCGCCATTTTGGATTTTTGAGGGGGTTAAAATTTGAAAGTGGGTTTTTTGAAAATTTCACCATTAGCTTATGATCCCTTACTACAATACTACCAAATTACAAGTCTCTAGCACGTTTCTAAACGATTCATATGACCATACCAAAGTCATTAAATTTCAATCTTATTCTCCATAAGAATATAATGGGGCTCGTAAAAGTGGCAAAAAACCTTCAAATTTTGAGATTAAAATTAAGTTTTGGGGATCAAGGAGTAAAGTTACGAAAAAACATGTAATGAGTAAAATTTAAAGTAAAGTAAGAGGAATACAAAGCAATAATAATTTTTGAAAATAAAAAATATTTAAGTATGAAAAAATAGCGAAAACCGGTAAAAATTAGAAAGAAATTTATCAAATTTTGAAAGTAAGGCGTTTTTTGAAGCCGAAGGAGTGCGATTTTTGGAAAACGTCTAAGAGGGTTTTGTACAAAATTTAATTCCTGTTCCTGGATATACTTTCAAATCTTTTCTATCTCTTACCGTTTTTGAGCTACATCCGGTTGAAAAAAACGTGTTTTTTCGTTTTCAGAGGTCCGCCATTTTGGATTTTTGAGGGGGTTAAAATTTTAAAATGGGACTTTTGCCAATTCCACCGGTAATGTAAGATCCCATACTGCAATACTACGCAAATTTGAAGTCTCTACCACGTTTCTAAGTGGTTCAGATGAGCATACCAAAGTCGGTAATTTTCAATGTTATTTCCCATAAGAATAACATTGGGGGGGAAATTCTTAAATAAGGGGGGGTTAAAATAAAAAAATGCGACTTTTCAGAATTTTCCCGGGGGTTTAGTACCAAGACCGACAATCGTGCCAAATTTCAACTCCCTAGCACATCTAGAAGTGGTCTAGAATTTGTATCCCCATTGAGTGAGTTACACATCGGGCTGTATAGTTATTTAGATTTAGACTCGCCTTTGGCTCGCTGGGGGCTCCGCCCCCAGCCCCCCTTTTTTGGTAGGGGGTAAATAGAAATGGGCCATGGCGCAAGACCTGCAATTGAGCCAAATTTCAGATCTTTAGCTATTCTAGAAGTGGGTAAAATTGATTTAGACCGATGCACCTGTAGGAATAACATTGGGGGGGATTCTATATTTCGTGGGGGAGGGAGTTATATTTGTAAAATGTCACTTTTCGGAAAGGGCACAAGATCTACAATCATGCAAAATTTCAGATATCCAGTTAATCTAGAAATGTGTAAACGTGATTTAGACTTATGCACCTGTAAGAATAACATTGGGGGGATTTAATTATTGGGGGGGGGGGGGGGGGGGTTGTAAATAGGATAGGGGGATAAAACCTTAAGTAAACCAGAGTAAATCTATAGCTTGAACGGACCATGGGAACGGGGACTTATGGTGGTTTTTATGGGGTAAATATTTTCTCCATAAGAATAACATGGGGCTCGTAAAAACTATCAAATGTTGACATTAATCCTAAGTTTTGGGGGTTAAGGAGTAAAGTTACGAAAAAACACGTATCGTGTAAAATTTAAACTAAAGTAAGGAGAATAGCCTACAAAGCAATAATAATATTTGCAAAAAGGAATTATTTAAGTATGAAAAAATAGCGAAAACCGGTAAAAAGTTTAAAGAAATTTACAAAATTTTGAAAGTAGGGAGTTTTTTGAACCCGAAAGAGTGCGATTTTCGGAAAACACCAAAGAGGGTTTTGTAAAAAATTGAATTCCTGTTCCTGGATGTTCTTTCAAATCTTTTTTAGCTCTTACTGTTTTCGAGCTAAATCCGTTTGAAAAAAACGTGTTTTATCGTTTTCAGAGGTCCGCCATTTTGGATTTTTGGCGGGGTTAAAATTTGAAAGTGGGACTTTTGCAAATTTCACCGTTAATATAAGATCCCCTACAACAATAATACCAAGTTTCAAGTCTCTAGCACGTTTCTAAACGGTTGAGATGAGCACACCAAAGTCGACCACTTTCAATGTTATTCTCCATAAGAATAACATGGGGCTTGTAAAGGTGGCAAAAAACCTTCAAATTTTGAGATTAAAATTAAGTTTTGGGGGTCAAAGAGTAAAGTTACCAAAAAACATGTAATGAGTAAAATTTAAAGTAAAGTATGGAAAATACAAAGCAATAATAATTTTTGAAAAAAAAAATTGTTTAAGCATGAAAACATGGCGAAAACCGGTAAAAATTTAATAAAAATTTACCAAATTTTGAAAGTAGGGCGTTTTTTGAAGCTGAAGGAGTGCAATTTTTGGAAAACGCCTAAGAGGGTTTTGTAGAAAATTTCATTCCTGTTCCTGGATATACTTTCAAATCTTTTCTATCTCTTACCGTTTTCAAGCTACATCCGGTTGAAAAAAAAGTGTTTTTTCGTTTTCAGACGTCCGCCATTTGGGATTTTTGGGTGGGTTAAAATTTGAAAATTGGGTTTTTACGAATTCCACCGTTAATTTAAGATCCTATACTGCAATACTACCAAATCCAAGTCTCTAGCACGTTTCTAAGCGGTTCATATGAGCGTACCAAATTCGGTATTTTTCAATGTTATTTCCCATAGGGATAACATGGGGGGGAAATTCAAAATTTCGGGGGGGTTAAAATTTGAAAATGCGACTTTTCGGATTTTTACCGGGGGTTTAGGAACTAGACCTACGACCACCGAAAATTTCAAGTCTCTAGCTCTTCTAGAACTACCTTAGAATTAGTATACCTCATGTGTCAGTGAGTTACACATCGGGCTGTATAGTTAATTAGATAAGGATAACATGGGGGGGAAATTCAAAATTTCGGGGGGGTTAAAATTTGAAAATGCGACTTTTCGGATTTTTACCGGGGGTTTAGGAACTAGACCTACGACCACCGAAAATTTCAAGTCTCTAGCTCTTCTAGAACTACCTTAGAATTAGTATACCTCATGTGTCAGTGAGTTACACATCGGGCTGTATAGTTAATTAGATAAGGATAACATGGGGGGGAAATTCAAAATTTCGGGGGGGTTAAAATTTGAAAATGCGACTTTTCGGATTTTTACCGGGGGTTTAGGAACTAGACCTACGACCACCGAAAATTTCAAGTCCCTAGCTCTTCTAGAACTACCTTAGAATTAGTATACCTCATGTGTCAGTGAGTTACACATCGGGCTGTATAGTTAATTAGATATAGACGGGCTGTATAGTTATTTAGATTTGCGAACGCAAACATTTATTTTGTCCTAAAAGTGCCGTTATATAATGTATTTTAATAGAGGGTAAAAAAGAGGAGATTTCTCACTTTTTGCAGAAATCCCCCGGAGCTAAATTTTGACCATCAAAATCCCGTAATATCCAGGGAAATGGCAACCCTAAGTGTACTTCACTTATAGTAACAAATGTGATTCTTGAGTGTGGCAAATTGTGTGAAAATGGATAAAAAATTATTTAGTCTTCGCAATCAGGGGTAGTGTTCTGATTGCAAATACGGTTATGATAAATTCATGATTTTTCATTAAGTAACAAATAATGCTGGTAAATGCTTATTTGGTGGGGATTATTAAATTTATTTTTCACCGACGACTCTCACATATTCTACCAGTTTACGTTAAGTGTTTTGTTTCCTACTATTTGTTTGTTTTTATTTAACTTACTTTAAAACATTGAACCAAATAAAATGCAGGTAAGTAGGATTGAAATCCTAAAAACCCCTCAAACTAAAATCAGTACCATTCAATCTTAAATTTATGTGTTCATCTCTTGATCGTGACCAATTTAAAGTGCAAACGCAAGCTCAGTAGGAATTCATATTTAACAAAATCCATTTCAATCAAAGTTTGTTTCTTATCGAAGTTTAAAACTTGAATCCATATTGAATACACACCACAAATCAAACAATGGCAGGGTCTGTACCTGTGACTAATGTGATGACATTTTTAATTTTACAAAACAAATTATATATTTTTGACAATTTCTTTATTGTAAAAGTTATAAAACTAGAAAGAGTCATTGCAACCCTGGTCATACGACAAAATCAATTGATCAATATTTTAGTTCCCCTATGGCTAAGTATGCAGTTGCTAGATTTAATAGACCTAAAAAAATAGTATTCTTAAGTCTTTGATTGGAGGATGAGGTTTAGTCAAGTTCTACAGTAGTTTTACGCATTTATGATTATTCTGAAGATACCACCGTTTGAGGTATAGACCTACATAAAGTAAAGCTCTAAAATGTTAGCAGTGACTTACCAATAACTATGTTCTATGAAATATCAAATATTTAAAAACCAATGTTTGAACCTTCTGAATAACTTCTGGTTAAAAGTAAAAACATTCCTAAAATTTTACATAAGATAACTCAAAAGCGAGGTAGTGTAAAAGGATATATTCCAGGATGTCCACACGATCCGTAAGCGTAGTCTGGGGAACAGGTCAACTTGGCTCTTTGTCCAACACTCATCTGAAATAATAATAAAAAAAAAATTGTTAAACATAATCACATGAAATTTATCTTGGATAGGCCAACAACTTTGACAGGTTAAGTTAGAATAGGGCAACAACAAACACTACAGTTGTCTCTCGATAATCGGACACTTTTTGAGATACTTGGTAGTTTACTCACCGGTTGATTTTTTAGTAAAAAATAATAAAAATATAGGTTTGCTTATTCTCCTTAGGAATAAGATGGGAATTTTTTTTAACTTTTTTTGGAATTTTCCTTAGTAACTATTTATTAAACAAAATCACTTAGAATAGGCCTATTAAATAATTTGTTTTCAAAGCTCTAAAGAATAAGAAAGGAATTGCTAAATTTTATGTTTAGTGAGTCAAAAATGGGAAAAACAAATTGCTGCCCCAAATAATGCTGCATCACAAACTCATTCAAATAAACGTAGGTTTACACGTTTGTACCAAATTCCTCAAAATTGGATGAATTTTACTCAAGTTATCGTGCCAACAGACACACATATATCTATGAATGTAAGCGGATGGTGTGTTTGCCCAGCTGGGAATATCAAGAAGTAAATCGGTCCAGGATCTATCTAGATCTTACCATGAGATCTACGGTAATAGCTTAAGTTATTTCCTATTTACGGAAAATTAGCTAGGTCCAATATTTCCTGATATGAAAAATTGGCTAAGAATTAATCTTGATCGACACTTTTACAGCCTCTTGATTGTCGGATTAGCGAGAGAAGGCTGCAATTTAAAACTCTACATAGGCTAGAAGTTGGTGGTTGCAATGCAGGAATAAAAACAACAAGTCTTATGTAAACATATGACTCTTTACTAAATAGCCTACGCTACTGCATAGCTATTTAAATTACCATACAGCTTTCTTAATCAAAGGTTAATTTATCATTAGGGAAGGTATCAGTGACACAGCAAAATATTGCCTCAGTGCAAGTATTTGAGAAAAAAAAGTTGACTCGGATCATAATACTCAATTAAAAAAAAAAGACTTTAGGTTATAAAAGTTAACCTTGAACCAAACACGAAGGTAAGGTAAGGGAAGGGAAGGGGGGGGGGGAAGGGAAGGTGTAAGGTGTTTGGTTAAGCACCTTGAAGTCAATATCCCTTTTAGATTACTTATTTTTTAACAGGTTTTCAACACGAGTTTCAAGATTACATCATTAAGCAATGACACTCATAATAGACAGTAAACACCTTCAAATTCATACAGACAAAACAGACCTGAATATTTCACATAAGTAGCCTATTTTAGCACGTAAGCCAAACAGTTTAAGAAATAATTGTAAATACAAACCTGAGCGACGCCTTGGTCCCACCCTTTAATAACTTCTCCTTTTCCGATGCGGAACTTAAATGGTGAACCTCGATCCCTGGAGGAATCAAATTTAACGCCATTTTCAAGTGTACCTGTGGAAATAACAGTTCTGATTCAATTCACATTATATTGAAACACTTTAAAGAACACATTTTAAACGTGTAACAATGTTAAACAATTAGCTCATTGAACTGTAAAAAGCTTTCACAAATTGCTCGGTGTCCTGGCAATTTTGGTCATTTGTAAAGTTGTTTTTGACAATTTCGCAGGGCCTAAACCACTGTTGATAACCTAGTCATATTTATACTTGTTTTGTTCAGAAAAAGAAGGAAATTCATAATAACATACAATTAGAGGAATTCCTGTTGGTGGTCTTTTTGCAAAATGTGAAAAAAATATTCTATTCAAATTTTTGGAATAATTTTTAAAAGTCTAGAGGCCTAGCATTCTGACAAAGAATTTTTTTACAGACGATCTAAGATTTATAAAAAATGTAGGCAATTTCCCTATGCAGAAATGTGATTGATTTGCATAATTTTTTTTTTACTAGGTGGTGGCGATTTCAGTTCATTATTGTTGTTTTTCATGAAATTACAAACAGAGAACGCACTTGCCCCCACCTTAAATCCATGCCATTGGATCAATAGCCTTTTCAAAAATTAATGTAGGCCTAATAAGGCTTTTCCCTTAAGTTAACAATAGGCTGTCACATAAATTGAAATAAATTTACACTTACCTGTATAGTGAACAACTACTGTCTGGCCAGTCTTTGGAAAGGTTTGGCCTGAAAAAAAAAACATAATTTAATATAGGGCCTAAGTTACACTTATTTTTAGAAACATTTTACGAAGGAGAAAACTGTTGTTTAAATTTATAACTTAGCTATAAGTTTTGTACCTACTTAGCTATTCCTTTACATTATCAAACTTGGGTAACTTATTCATTTAAATTAGGGGGTACAGATCGGCAGAGATTAACCCTTTAGAGACCGACCCTATAGTATATGACGGGCTGCGCAGGACTGGGGTACTTTGAACAATTTCTGCAATGTTACAGAAATAAATGCTATAACTTTTGAATAGTAGCCCTCATTATCATTTCTTGCATGCTGTTATGAATGAAACTATTCTAAGCTAACCTAACATAACTAACCAAACTGGCTGTAGGCTAAGTTAGGCCATAGACAAAAGAAATACCATAAGAAATACAAAAGAAATAATGGTTTATTGTCTGTGGTTAGGCCTACCTGCCGTTTCAAAATTCTGTTTGATAACAGATGGGGAATAGGCTATCAAACGGAATTTTGAAATGTTACAGCAAGTTTGGTTGCTTAGGTCAGTTTAGAACAGATTCATTTCAATATAATTTTTTTTTTTTTCAATTGTTAGTTGATACTGAACAATATTTATTTACTGTATCCTTATCGTAAGTTTAGTTGTCAGGTGATATGTTTCAAATTACAGTACATTAACCTATCGGGTTGAAAAATAAGATAGCTTAAGCTATCAATATATCGAAAAAAAAAAACAAAAAAAAAAAAAACATTGATAATAATGAATGTTCCCTTTTACAGGAAAGTAGGCTACTCTGCCGATGTATCGGAAGTTCGTCTTTTTAGCAAAATATACTAACTTTAAAAAATCAAAAAATGGTCTCCTAAGGGTTATAACCTACATTAATTAACTTATTATAATTTAGTTTATATTATTGTGGCATTAAATTTAAGTAGACCATATTTTATGAGAAATCGAAAATAAGTTTAAAGTAAATTGATAAAGGTAAAGCTTAGCTTTAATTATAGGCCTACCATTTAGTAAGATGGTGTTACTGTGGAAATAAAATAATTAAATTGAATCAATAAAAACGTACAGATCATAGTTCAATTCCGGGTTTAACTTAGGCTACATTGGTGTAGGCTAAACTAAATTTAGTAGTGATAGGTAATGATAGGCCAATATCGTACCGAATTATAATCACTATTATATCGATACCAAACTGGTTATCCACTTGGGCTATATCTCAGGGACAGGTACTCTCCAGAACTTTACCCAAATTATGTTCTAAAAAAATGTAACAAACATTTTCTCATTATTTGACCCATTACGCTAAGAACACACTTCCTCTGACACCTGTTTAAAACTGGCCTAATTTGCATTATTCGCTGGTTAAGTAACTTACTTAGCCTAAGCTATTAACTTATCTTTTCCCCGAAAAGTGCTATGGAACGATATATCATTGTTCGACTGTTCGTGATTCATCCGAATAAAGCTAAGTTAAGCGACGATATATCGTTCCAGTGTGACTTTCGATTGTCTGAGTTTAAATAGGCTTATTGGTTGACTCGGTTGTTGTTTTCAGACAGCAATGGTTTCTTTTGAATCCTCATACGGTCGAGGCCCGATAACTTAAGATATCGGCTCCTTAAGTAGCACTTTTGAGATGAAAAATTTTATTTTTACCGATTTTTTTCTTGCACACTAAGCTTTAGACTTTGCCCCCTTGGCAAGCCTAGCACTTTTCGGACAAAATAAGAATGTAACTTAATGTAGCCTACTTTAACCCTTTCAGTGTTAAATATCGATGCATCGATGGTAATGACACGCTCTGGGGTGTCAAGCGTCGATGCATCGATGTTAGTGCAGACGGTCACATATTGTCTTTAAACTCAGTCAATTTCAGTCCAATTTGGACTGGATTGATATCACAAATTAGTATTTAAGTTACATTAAACCATGCCTAAGGCTGCACTTTACTTTAGGTCCTACACTCATTCGAATGAAAATATCGATCGATCTTATCGACTAATCGATTGTTTCATTCGATATATCGTTTGGTTAGTTAGGCAAGGTTAACCCTTAGAGTGCCAGGCGAGAAATAAAAGTAACGCTCAAAAAATGCCGATGATTTTTCCCGAAGGTCGCGCTAAAAATGCCGAGCGCGATCGGCGTGAAACTGGCAATAGATTAGCAATAACTCACTCCACTTCTCCTACTTCCCCTCCGACGAATATACGTCACAGTAAAACGTCATAACAATGATGGCGTCACAGCAGCATTCGTCATAGAGCCGACGACATAACCTCCAAAATATCAAGTGGCGGGAACTTTTTTTTGGCGGCACACGGCCAAGATGGCGTTCGGTTGTTCCCGCCAACCGTTGAGTATAGCAAGTGTCTTTAATATATGTAAACAACTGCATAAATGAATTAATGTTAAGGAGTTGTAAACAAAGTAAACGCCTAAAGCCTATCCTAGGACCATAGACTAACAATCACAAGAAGACTTCTCATCCCATTGTAAATTTTGAAGCTCGTTTTTCGTATCTAGTTCATGTACGTGACACATGGGCGCTAGTGTCCACGAAACTTTGTTTCTATTATTTTAGGGTTAATTTCTTGATTTGTGCTTTACTGTTTGGTTATATAACTTGGGTACAGGTTATTGTTTATGATTAGATCGTATTATTTAGTTAAACGAGGCTTTAAATGGCTGTAATAACGGGAAGCAAATTGTAAACAAAACAGGACCTCAAGAAAATAAGAAATTGCCATAAATTTCTATTGCTGGCCTATTCGGTTGGTACGATTTTCTGTTTTTCATTTGAAATATGTTTATTACATTGTTATGAACTGGAAAAAACTTCGTTTATGTTCTAATAATTATTTATAGTTGAGATAGGTGACTTTGAATTAAACTGGTGTGACCTCGGTTCCATAAGAACCCAACTTACTAAAAATCTTGTTTTTTCGTTTTTACATGTTTGTTACTTCTTAATAAACAATATCTAACGCCTTTTCGAAAAAAATTATCAGTTATTATCATTTAAATGCATTATTTAAATTTTGCTCAAGAAAATATTAAATTACGATAAATTTCTATTGCTGGCCTATTCCGTTGGTACGATTTTCTGTTTTTCTTTTGAAATATGTTTATTACATTGTTATGAACTGGAAAACACATATTTTATGTTCTAATAACTATTTATAGTTGAGATATGTCACCTTGAATGGCATTGGTGTGACCTCGGTTTCATAACAACCCAACTAACAAAAAATCGATTTTTTTCGTTTGTACATGTTAGTTGCTTCTTAATAAACAATATCTAACACCTTTTTGATAAAATTATCAGTAATTATTAATTAAATGCATTATTTAAAATTTGCCTCAAGAAAATATTAAATTACCATAAATTTCTATTGCTGGCCTATTCCGTTGGTACGATTTTCAGTTTTTCTTTTGAAATATGTTTATTACATTGTTATGAACTGGATAACACGTCGTTTATGTTCTAATAACTATTTATAATTGAGATATGTCACCTTGAATGGCATTGGTGTGACCTCGGTTCCATAACAACCCAACTAACAAAAAAATCGATTTTTTCGTTTGTACATGTTTGTTGCTTCTTAATAAAATATATCTAACGCCTTTTCGATAAAAATTATCAGTAATTATCAATTAAATGCATTATTAAAATTTTGCCTCAAGAAAATATTAAATTACCATAAATTTCTATTGCTGGCCTATCCCGTTGGTACGATTTTCTGTTTTTCTTTTGAAATATGTTTATTACATTGTTATGAACTGGTAAACACAAAGTTTATGTTCTAATAACTATTTATGGTTGAGATAGGTAACTTTGAATTAAACTGGTGTGACCTCGGTTCCATAACAACCCAACTTACTAAAAGTCTATTTTTTTCGTTTGTACATGTTAGTTGCTTCTTAATAAACAATATCTAACACCTTTTTGATAAAATTATCAGTAATTATTAATTAAATGCATTATTTAAAATTTGCCTCAAGAAAATAAGAAATTGCCATAAATTTCTATTTCTGGCCTATCCCGTTGGTACGATTTTCTGTTTTTCTTTTGAAATATGTTTATTACATTGTTATGAACTGGAAAACACATCGCTTATGTTCTAAGACTCATTTATAGTTGAGCTATGTGACTTTGATTTTAACTGGTGTGACCTCGGTTCCATAAGAACCTAACTTACTAAAATCTTTTTTTTCGTTTGTACATGTTAGTTACTTATTAATAAACAACTTCTAACGCCTTTTCGATAAAATTATCGGTAATTATCAATTTAATGTATTATTTAAGTTTTGCCATTACCATAATTTTACCATAAATTTCTATTGCTGGCCTATTCGGTTGGTACGATTTTCTGTTTTTCTTTTGAAATATGTTTATTACATTGTTATGAACTGGAAAACATATAGTTTATGTTCTAATAACTATTTATAGTTGAGCTATGTCATATTGAATGGCGTTGGTGTTACCTCGGTTCCATAACAACCCAACTAACAAAAAATAGATTTTTCCGTTTTTACATGTGAGTTGCTTCTTAATAAACAATATCTAACACCTTTTCGATAAAAATTATCAGTTATTATTAATTAAATGCATTATTTAAAATTTGCCTCAAGAAAATATTAAATTACCATAAATTTCTATTGCTGGCCTATCCCGTTGGTACGATTTTCTTTTTTTCTTTAGAAATATGTTTATTACATTGTTATGAACTGGTAAACACAAAGTTTATGTTCTAATAACTATTTATAGTTGAGATAGGTAACTTTGAATTAAACTGGTGTGACCTCGGTTCCATAACAACACAACTTACTAAAAATCTATTTTTTTCGTTTGTACATGTTAGTTGCTTCTTAATAAACAATATCTAACACCTTTTTGATAAAATTATCAGTAATTATTAATTAAATGCATTATTTAAAATTTGCCTCAAGAAAATAAGAAATTGCCATAAATTTCTATTTC